TGCCCCTTTTATTGAACTCAACCACAGGCTTAATCTTCTGAATTTTCCTCTTCACAACATGGCTCATTGTGTTGATACCACGGGTGGATTTTGGCTCCTCAAGAAATGTGGCTGTGTTGGGGTCTTTATCGGAAGTAGAAGAAAATCTCAACCTCTTCGAGGATTTGCTTTGAACTGATTTGCCTTCATCCATTTCAGCCTTTGAAATTGATTTGGCTTCATCCCTTTGAGCCTTTGAAATTGATTTGGCTTCAATTAGTTGAGCCTTTGAAACTGATTTGGCTTCATCCCTTTGAGCCTCTGACACTTGAGCTTCCTTGTTTTGAGATTTCGAAACCATTTTTAATTAATCTGCAAGAAAAACAACATCGGTTATTTAAAACGAACGACGTAATAATAAAGAAACGACGTCCGAAAAAATACAGCCGTGATATTTAATTTAGGACGACGGTTGTAAAACAACACCGTCGTTGTAAATACAACACCATGACGGTAACATGAAAACAACGATGTCCTATTAAACAGTCTCTCAGACCACGTATGGAAATAAGACGACGGTTTTATCTTGTTCATGACGTAAATGTTTATACACCACGTCGGTTATTCAGCCTAAGAACCGACATGGTTTAAAATTTACAACGTCAAACACAAAATACAACTGTCATCTTACTGAGATGGGATACAAGAAAAACGGCAGTTCTTCTCCCACCAGACGACGGTTTTATCTTGTTTCCGACATATTAATTGTCACACCATGATGGTTATTAACCACCGTCGTGCAGTTTGCATTAGGTCGGATTTAACGACCGTCGTGGTGTGTCGATTCTATCGTTGCAAACAAGATAGAACTGTCGTCTTTTGACGTCGTGAGAGTGATAGACTAATGAATTTAATCAAAACCAGTGAAAGATTTCCTCAATTTGACAAAATCTTGTTTCTAGACAACGACGGCTTTCAAATGAAATGTAAAAAAAGGGAAGAGATTGAGAAAAAACCTTTGGTGTGCAAAGAAAGTTTCCTTCCGACGTAAGAAAATGGTGATTTGGAGACGAAGA